GAGAATTAAAGAATTAGGTTATGGAAATATCTTAAATTCTCTTTCAGAGAGTTTGTATAAACTTAGCTAGCTTTTTCTTTGTTCTATCATGAATCCCCTTTGTGTTACAGTGAGAATTTTCAGTTTTGGGGGTTTTTTTCCTTGAAGCTATAAATTTGAACAGTTGGGTGGCATTATAAAGTTTCTTGAGAGCTTTCTCTTATTAACAGTGCTGTGCATCTGGCAAGAAAAGTAATTCTACTTTCAAGAGGAGGGGCTATTAGTACAAACCTTTGTATTTTGTTTTTAGCTTATTAGAGCTAGCCAGCATAGAACTTTAAATTCTTGGATTTAAGGAAATTCTTCTGAGATGGTAGTGTTTTTAATTAATACTTTTGCTCCTATATAATATTCAGGCTAGAGCTTTGAGGATAGTTTGAAGGATTCAACTTTAATTTTTTAAAAGTATTCTTGTTTATATTTGTATTGGTATGCCTGTTAAAAAACTTTATACAATGAAATTTTAAAAACCTAATAGGTGAGCAAATATGAAAAAATAAATCATTCTATCACCTGTTGTTAACATTTTGATGTGTGCCTTTCTGGTCGTTTTTGAACTTTTAAATGACATGAAAATATACATGCTGAATCTATAAAACATTTATGTAGTTTAAAGGGTAATTATAAACTGAACATCCATTTAACCAGTCCCAGGTTCACAAATGGAATATCATCAGCACATTTACTCTTCATGTACTCTCCAGTTATATTTCTCTTCTATACTCCCCTGCCCCAGATCACTTTTGTGTTTAACTTCATTGCCTTTTTAAAAAAATGGTTTTATGTGCATTTGTGAACAATGTCATTTTTGTTTTACATACTTGGGAATTTTATGTATTAAATAATAGGAATCATACTTTTGTGATTTGATTCTCTCAACATGTTGAGATTCATACATGTTGATTCATTTAGCTATGTTTCATTCGTTTTTATTTATACTGGCATCAATAAATTTTTTGGTAAAGGGTCAGATAGTAAACATTTTAAGTTTTGTGGGCCATTATAAATCTCTGTCACAAAACAACACTGCCATGGTAGTGTGAAAGCAGCAATAGATAATATGTAAATAAATGGGTGTGGCTGTTCCAATAAAGCTTTATTTATAAAGGGTGTGGCTGGACTTGGCCTGTGGCCATAGTTTGCTGACCCGTGCTCTGTAGTATTCTGTTACATGCACATACCATAATTTACATCTTACTGTGAACAGACATGCGAATTTTTCCCAGTAAGAGAGTGTGTGTCTGTATGGAAAAAACTTTGTGCATTTACTTTAAATATACTATACAATTTACACATAAACATAGATTTTGTATTTTTCTTATACATTATCAAACTTTAGGTCTGATAGGTCAAGAAAAGGCTTTATAAATAGCAAGGAACTTCTCAGGGTTCTAAAGATTTTATAATAAGAGCTCCACTTATGAAATGTATATATTGCTCTTTGTCATTTCCTGTCACTTGAAATATAGCCCCTTTATTAAATACTTTCATGCCAAGTTTCAAAGATCTTTTTTAGTTTCTTATGGAGGGACATCCTGCTTTTGACTTCATGTGGCTGGACTGAAAAAAAATTCAGTGTGTATAATACTTGTTTGCCTGTTTAAAATGCACAGTTTTAGGCTGAGTGCTGTGGTTTACACATGTAATCACAGCACTTTGGGAAGCCAAGGCAGGAGGATGGCTTGAGGCCAGGAGTTTGAGATTGGCCTGGGCAACATAGTAAGACCCTATCTCTACAAAAAATAAAAAAATTACCTGGGTGACTGAGGCAGGAGGATCCCTTGAGCCCAGGAATTTGAAGCTGTGGTGAGCTATGATCATGCCACTGCACATGTACTGGCACAGAGCATGCCCCAGTCTCTAAAAAGAAAAATCATAATTTTACTGGTGTTTTATACTGGATATTGGAATCGTTGGTATTACCAGGTCTTTGTATATCTCTTTGGATGACATTACTCACAATTGACAGCCAGAGTCTTAGGTACTTAAAATTCCCTTTTGGGCAGCTTCTTCCCCACTGGAGAAGGTGTTTGTAAGACTGCAAAATGATGAGAATGCCAGTCAAATTACTGTGAGCCTTTGATTTCACAAATGCTGGCCGAATAGTTGGGCTTGACCAATTTGAGTTCATTTGAA